ATCATGACATAACTTGGCATGAGTAACATATTTATACCTAAATTGGTCTGAGAATCATAATAATAACATGAACTCTGATTTAATTAAACATGATCGGTCACGGCGTGCACGATAGGCACAACCGACGGCCTTGGTTCGACCCTTCGACCAAACATGAACTTTTCTCGAGCAATACTAAGAGACTGACCATAATACATTATTTAAAGGCTATTGGAACAAAAATCACTCGAAAAAACATGATCACAATGAAAGATAACATGATAAAGTATGAGGCGGCCAGTGGGCGTGCGCTACGTGCGCAGCCCACCTCCTTAGGCCATTTCTCGATCAAACTTGAAAACTTTTCGACCAACCTGAATTTACTGTGTATAAATAGACATATAATAATCAACTGAACATGATTTATTTGGAAGTTGTCGGGTAAAAACGAACTTCACTCGGTCACGGCCTAACCTGAATACTAATAGCATTTTGCATGAATTTCTGAACATGGCTGAACATGATGACCCTAATATGATTTTACTTAACATCAAAAGAGAATGAAAAGGATATTACCTCTTCAAGCTCTCAGTGAATTATGCAACAACGTGCTTGTTTCCCTCGTCTCCGCTTGTGCGTGCGTGTGGTATAGCTTAAACTCTCTTAATCTCACTTAGTTTATGGTAAGTGTTTGAATTAGGAATCACCCTTAATTTTTCCCCCAACTTCTGATATATACCTCGTGAAGAACGGTAAAATTTTTTGGGAGGAAATTGAATTAAGGTCGTGGCCAATCGCAAGAGACCACTTGCCGTGCGATGGGGTGGCTAGGTGGACTTCACCTTGCTTAGTCACCTCCTTGATAGCTTAGTCATTCTCCCCAACTTACCTCAAGCCTCCACATGTAAGTGTCATGATGATATTTCACGTGAGAAGGGAGACATAACTTACGGCCATTTACAATGTACTAAGCATGGCCTTAAACGTGCATTAGGCGTGCTAATGCTTAGCTTAGGGTTAAGCTAAGCATAATTAACATGACTTCTTGATAATGCAAGGCAATTAGTACCTTAATTAAACATGATTAAGCTCAGTTTAATATTTTTCGAGTGATTTAGACATGAATTAATTATCGAGAATTATTCCGAACATGACGTGATATTCGAAAATTAATTCGAACGTTCTTAACTGAATTAATTAGCTCCGAACGATAAAGCTGGATAAAATAATTTTTTTGGAACTAAACATGATATTGTATTAATAACATGACGGGATATTACAAAATATGCCTCTGGATCACTTCTTCCTTTGAATGTGGGAATATTCAGTTTTATGCTTCCCAAGTCACGATCTACTTCATTATCTCGCCTTCTCATTCCTCCTCTATTGCCATGGTGTGGAGGCTCATGACACTCCTCCTCGTCTGAATCAGGTTGATAGAATTGATAATTGTCGTGTCTTCTATGATCTTGTTGTTCCAACCTCTCCAAACGTTCGGTAATGCCTTCGAGAACACCTCCAAGCCTTGCAAAATGTTGCTGCATTGCTTGAATGGTGAATTCAATTCCCCCATTGGTTAAATTATCCTCCATTACTCAATTCTCACAAGTCACTTGTGTATCACTCAATACAACCCTCACAACACTCGTGTTTCACTCGTAGGCTTTTACCTCCCCTCAAATGAGCTCACACACTCTTGCCTTTTACCACTCTGAATTCTCTTTCGTAGGCTCAACCAACATAGAACCTATCAAGATCAATATCTTAGAAAAATACAAGAACTGTTTTTTTTTTTTATTATTTTTATTTTTTGTTTGAACAAACTGATTTTTCTCTCTCTTTTTTTCTTACAATCCTTGTAGAAAAATACAAGGATTTTTTTTTTTAACAAACTGATTTTTCTCTCTCTTTTTTTTTTAACAATCCTTGTAGAAAAATACAAGGAATCTTTTTTTTTTTTTTTTGGTAAAAATTGATAAGAAAAAGATAGAAATCAGATCAATACCAGATTTCTTTGATACCAAAACTGATACGGATAGGACATGAGACCCGTTGGATATATTGATCCAAGAACCAAACGTATAAAATATGCAGCGGAATCCCAGATTGGAGATCTAGTTTGATCGTACCTAGAGCTTAAAAACCTCGACCCGTTAGCTATATAATCAGCTAAGAACCTCGGTATGGTGAACGCCACAAGATCTTGCTCAAAAATCTTGATAAGTTCTTAAAAAACATAAAACTCTACAAAAGAGAATTCAAACTCACAAAAGTGATTTTTAATATTCAGCAAAATTCATATATTTCATTAAAACATAAAATGGTCTTTTTAAAGGCTACAAATGGTGTTAATGAGTTAATCCCATTTTTGGGACTCATGAAGCACTAAAGACACTCTTTCGACCTCATAAATAAACTTACATGAAGTTTGAATGACCTTTTGACTTCTAAGACAAACTAAGAAACATTTTGGTCTCACAAATGCTAAAAATGGAGATAATATTGAACACTTTAATTGGGCTTCATGACATGGACAAAATTAAGTCCTCAATCCATGGATCCATCTTCATGGGAACAATCTGGCCCATCAACTCGAAGAATATTCATCAATTTGCCTTCAATCGGGATTTGGTTCGTCTCCTTTTGAAATTCAGCAATAAGGACACTCAGCGCTTCCTTTATTTGCCCTTGCCCTAGTGATCGGTCCCTCGTTTATTTTCAACGGATCTTCTTTACTTTGATCGGAGAGCTTAGCTTGGTCCCCATCACCCGGCTTTGACTGCACGCGTCTCTTGAGTTCTGACGGCAGCGTGGCTTCTCGCGCATGCTGTGAGGAGTCGTTGAATTCGGCTCGCGTGGTCGTGCTGCAACTTAAACAATGGCCTTGCTCACGAGGACTAGAAGCGTGGACTGGGCGGACTGTAGCCTTGACGCGCTAGATCCTGCGCGGTTGCTACTGGACACCGGCGGCTATGGAGGTTTGTCGAGGGAAGGAGGGTCGCCGAGGAGATAATGGGAGATTTTAGGAATGGGCTCGAAACTTGCGTTAAAAAAAATAATGACCAATGACCCTAGGTGATATGGGTTAAGGAAGATTGGAAGGAAAATGATTCTCTTTCCTCGTTTGCTCAAAGACTTGGTGACCAAGAAAATTGGACTCTCTTTCTCTGTCTTATTTTATTCTTCCCACGGCTAAAAACACAAGAGAAGGCCAAGATTTTGTAATCTTTTATTAATTTGGAAAATTTAAGAAAATTCTTCACTTGTTTCTTGGAGAGGACATTAATTAAACAATCCTTACTAATTAGAAAATATTTGTATAAAAAATTTAATGAGAAAATTAAATGGATGTGGGCATAACTTATTTTTATATTAGATTAAAAGAAAAGGTCGAGCTAAAGAAAAATAAAATGCAAAAAAGAAATATGGTCTTCAATAAGGAAACGGGGCGCAATAGCCAGGCTTGGCTGAGCCAGCCAGGGTCCAGCTACGCGTGACTGACTCTAGCAGATGCAGGATGACGATTTTCGAGCTTTGATGGTAATTTTTTTATATTTTCATGAAAAACAGACAACCCCGCAAATTCCAGAAACTTTGTGGGGTTCATATATATTGTACGGGATACAAATAGAAGACCAAAATATATTTTATTGTATTACCCAAAACACCTTTTCGAACAATCTTTGGGAAGCGATCGAACGAAGCTCTCAAATTTCATAAACTCTCAAGAAGAAGACAAGAGGGACGATTGGTTTTTCTCTTAGGAAAAAATAGTTGTGCGTGTTTTCTCAATCTCTATCTTGTGTTTGGAGGCTTGACACTTGGAGTATTTACAGGGCCATAGTAGGGACATTAAGGAGGTGTTACATATGATCTTTCCAAGCATGAGCCCACCTGTGGGTCAAGTCCACACCGGTCAATACTCGAATATTAAATCATTCAACTAGAGAAATATTATTGAACTCTCAGTTTAATGTCGAACTACAATTAATTTGTTTCCCTATATATTGCTCGATTTATATCCTTGTATTTAAGATTTACGTCCGTTGATTAATTTAAATTACTGACAATAAAATTAATCAACTTCTCTAATTCGAAACTTGTACAACTCAATTCTTTATTATTATGTCAGAAATTTATCTGCCAGCCAAACTTGACATAACAATCCTTCTTACGGTTACCGTGAACAATATTGATGGCACATAATGCAGCCGACATTACTTACAAAACATCGAGTATGTCGACCTACCAGAATAAGTATCATCCATTATAAATCAAGAAAGTAAATGCTAACTATGTATGTTTGTACATTATCTTATGGGTTAAAAATACTCAAACATACACTGATGTCTAGATTATTTGCTTGATCAGTACAAAATATACATCTAGGATGTAGTACCCCGTTCAAATTATGGATTTTTTGGATTATTAATTTTATTTTATTTTATTTTATGCAGATAGCTGCATTTAATTATCTATGCTCGACTAGTTATTCGGACTAATTGGATTTTAATGTCTATTTAATACGTTAAGTAAATAATTTATTTAGAAAATTTAGTTCATTGAAATTATTTGAATTATCGAAGTAGTGCCCCATTCGATTTATAGAATTACGCGAAATATTCTATTTATCGAAAAATATTTATGAGATTATATTTATTTTATTAGTCGCAATGTCGACATAAATAAAAGGTTGGAGTACTCGATTGTTTTATTGAAAAACGTTCGTCGTGAAGTGATTTCGATTTAATTGCGTGAACGGAATATAATTCCCTGCCCGCACGTGGGAAAACTGCTGCCAATCCCCCACCGTGTATAGAACCGAGCCCTGTTCGTCGGAGAAGAGCAATCAGCTACCAAGGTTGCCGTGGGGGACCAACGACTTGGGATCACCACCACGTTCAAGCATCATCGCGGACGACTGAAAATCCTCCAGAGACATCATATTTCAACGTGAGACATGGGAGCAGCAGCCAACAGTCGTCCGTCGATCAAGACTCGGACCCGCTCATCGCCGCCGTTGGATTCTGATTTGATAAAGACGTGGCCTGACCCCTGAACTGCTCACGCCCGCAGCAGTCGCGCCGCAATGCCACGCTCAACCTCCTCGCACAACCCTGTGGTCTGACCAAACACCGCACCGTAAGGCCGCCACGCATAACCAGAATTAGAACCCATTGTCGGGAGATGCATAAATCACCAACGTGAACCGTCAGATCTCAGCCTAAGTCGCCAACCTCCGATCGACCGCAACCCACCTTCACAGCACGTCCTCAAACGAGCCACGTCGCTCAGCACAACTACGTTGGCTGACCACAATCAGCTAGCATGTGTCCTGTTTCTGGCTACCTCTCCTTCAAGCTCTATCTAGCGATCTTCATAGGCCGACCGTTGACCACCCCGTTGTCGGAATCCCTACATGGGTGCGCGAGGAAGGAATTGAAATTTTGGAAATTGGGTTTTGGGAGATTAAATTGGAGAGTGTGTCGATTGAATAGAAATTGGGAGAAATAGGGGAGAAGAAATATTGATGTCGGGGAGAAAGAAAAGAAACGAGAGAAGAAGGAGAAAGAAATAAGAGAAAAAGAGAGGAAAATAAAAGATAAAAGAAAGAGAAAAAGGATTTGGGCCAAAGTGAGATTGGACTTTTTGGGGTTAGATTTTGGACTACAAGACAAAATATTTGGGCTCTCTTGATGACAGTTAAATGGGCCAAGTAGAAGTAAATATGAACTAAATCAAATTGGGTGTCGGAAGGAGCTTCGACCCAACTACCGAACCGTGCCTCTATTCTTGTATATTCTAGAAGTGCGGTAAATCAACCCTTTGGAGTACGGTAATTGGTGACTTCCCTATACTTATATTTTGAGATATATTTGTGTATTAGTTGTTGCCATAATGGTTATATGTTTGGATTATTTGTGTTTGTTTATAAATATCGTATTACGTTCGTCTCTTCGGTTTATTGTCAAAACTGAAGTACGTGAGTATTTTTCGTGGAAACCAAGGAGATATGAGTGTTTTAATGTGTCCTTGACATGTTAGAAAAAGCCTCAGGTCGTTTCGATGCATATTCATTGAGTTATGAATTTTTATAAATGACCGTGCTGCTGGATTTTGTAAAAATCATGATAAATTGAATACTCGGCCAAATTATATGAAATTTTATAGGTTGTTCTTTCTATTGATGATGTGTGTTGTGAAATTTTCAACTTTAAACTCCTCGTGTAGCTATGTTAAATGGAGAATTTGAATTCTAGGCAGAATCTTGTAAAATCATTACAAAATTGAGTTTGTTGAATTTTAATGTAAAATTTTGTGGAGCATGTTATTCTGTTAACTTGTTAGTTGTGTCAAAGTTTCATGTTCAAATTTGAAGGTTTGACTGGGGAACTAAAATTTTCACTCTACGGCTGTAGTTTTTGAAATTTATTTGACAGGGTTAAAATGAGGTTTTGGGGCTGATATCTGGTGTATATGTGTATTTCTGGGTGTACTTTAATGTGGTAATGTTTCGTTGAAAATGGTTGAATACTTTTTGAAAATATCTGGTAGTTTTAAATTCAAGTCGGCTTTCCCGGCAGCACCCAACCGAGTCTTGTTTTGAATATCTTTCTGACTTAGTAGACTTTGCATTTACTTATCACTGTGTTTTGTGATGTTATATGGTTTATCAAGTCTAGTTGGTTAAGCCGAGGTTCCAAATTCCATTAGGAATTTCTACGAATCCCTTAGTCGATACGATTCAGCTAAGTGAATGTCATGGTATGTGATTCTAAGTGTTGGATAGTTGTTCATAGGATAACTCTTGATGAATGTAGGTGTTTGACGAGCCGTGCTCTCATCCCACCGACTTTAGTGTGCTATCTTCAACTTCGTAATCTAGGTGGGTTTATTTATGAAATTTTCTATGCAGTAATTATTTCATATTGCGTGTGGTATGATCAATGTATCCATATGGACCATGTAGCCTTCGATGTGATCTATACCGACCGTCGAGCGGTTATTCCCGTAGCTATAGAACGTACCTTCGGGTAGTCTCTTTTATTTATGTATGGCAGTCAGAGCGCGAGCCTTGGTTGGTGATCCTCGTATGTAAGGCCAAGGCTTGAGTTTGGGCATTCGGGGTGGATTTACTCCTGCTGGCCTGGCACTCGTTGTAAGACTTTTCATAAGGCGTTCGGTATATAGTCAGGCAGTAGTCTATTGGTATAGGTGTGCACGTGAGGGTTGACTCTAGGATAGGAGATGGGATATGAATTGATTATGTTCATACTGCGACCATACCTACTTTATTTCATGAATTTGAATATTGATTATTGTGTAGTGGTTAGCACCTCGATTATCCAATTGTTCTCATCCCCACCTGCTGTTAATGGATGCAGGTTAGTATTTGTGGGCACGACAGGAGGAGGCGAGTGGTGGTCATATTACTGATTCCTTCCGCTGTTTAAACTACTTAGTATTATTTATGCATTTCTGAATTTACGTTGAGTACATGATTATTGATAGGGAGTGTACTCCCTAGTATTTATGAATTTAATGAAACCCAGTTTTGGGAGTTGATGTTATTGATGAACCCGGTTTGAGTGTTGACATGATTATTGGACCCGTTTGGGAGTTGCATTTATGATATTATTGAAAAGTGTTTGTAAATTAGTAGCGCCACCAAAGTTTATGATATAAAATTTGAAAATTTATACTATTTTTCGTCAAATAAAAGCGAGGCGTTACCGTATGGTATTAGAGCCAGTCTGCGTTTCTGTAGAGTGGTTAATGCGAATTATATATTTTATTGCTTTGACCTTAAATTATGACCACTCACTCTCGTCATGTTGCGCCAGCTCAGGTATGGGTACCAAAATAATTTTGAGATTATTGTGCATTGCTTGATTATGGATTATTGAAATGAAATCGGGACATAGGAATTTTTTC